GAAGCGATTCCTCGGCTCTGGCCGTATTTCCTGGAAACTGCAGTGGACTACGCCAATTTCGTCGTCAATAACAAAACCCAGGGAATCAATAAGACGCCTCACGAAGCCTTCTTCGATGAGAACGATCCAGGAAAGCCTCACACCGTTGATCTCAGCAATTTGCGCACTCCGGGATGTAGGGTTTTCGTTAATATTCCATCTCAGCGGCGCGTGAAGGGCGAAAAATTCCACCCTACCGCGGAGGAGGGACTTCTTCTGGGCTGGAAAGGTCGCTCCAACTACGTCGTCTTCATTCCATCGAGACCTGGCCACTTTCATCAGCAAATCGTCCAGACTTCGAGCCTCACCTTTCACGAAGAAGCAGGCGCTAGGAAAGTCATCTCCGAGACCGAGGAAGAAGCCGGGGACGAGATTATCGCTGATTCTATTACAGTCAAACCCCGAGTCATCAGAACGCTTCCACCCAACGCAAAACGAAGCCGTCAAGACCGTCTGCAAGCCCTCATCGCGGAGACTTGCTACAATATCGCTGCGGCCGCCAATATCGAGCCTCTTACTCTTGTTCAGGCTCTCGCCAGGCCAGACGCCGACGAGTGGAAGAAAGGGCTCTTTGGCGAGTTCCGCAACATGCTCGCAAAGAAGGTCTTCCGCGCGGTCGCCCGCTCCAAGGCAGGGAAGAAGGTGCTCACCGCGCGCCTGGTTTTCAAGCAAAAGCTCAACTCCGACGGCAAGATCGAGAAGCACAAGGTCCGCCTTGTTGCCCGCGGCTTCGAGCAACGAGAGGGGATCGATTATAACGAAACCTTTGCCTCCGTCGCTAAAGCAAACACCTGGCGTATCCTTCTCGCGCTGGCGGCTCTCCTCAACTGGGACGTCCAGCAGCTCGACGTTATTGCGGCCTTCCTCAACGGCGACCTCGAAGAGGAGGTCTTTATCGAGATCCCAGACGGCTTGGCTCTCTTCTTCGAGGAGAATCCATCGGAAAACGATATCGGCTTCAATCCACGCGAGGATCAAGTCCTCTTGGTTCTCAGGTCGCTCTACGGGCTCAAGCAAGCGCCTCGCCAGTGGCAGAAGGCGCTCAAGAAGGCGCTTTTAGCCCTGGGCTTCACCCAACTTCGATCAGACAACGCTGTTTTCATCAACTACGCGCGCCGGATCATACTTTGCACTTACGTCGACGATATGTTGCTTCTTGGGCCGGATTCCAACGCAATTCGCGCGTTCAAAGCCGAATTAGCCTACCACTTCGAGATCAAGGACCTGGGAGACGCCAACTACTTCCTGGGCGTACGGATACTTCGAGATCGTCCTAACAAGAAGATCTACCTCCTTCAAGACGCCTTTGCGCAGCGAATTCTCGAGGCAAAAGGCTGGACGCAATTGAAGCCTGCGAAAACACCACTTGCACAGGGATCCTTGATCCACGCAGTTCCGCGCGAGGATACTGCTTCTGCGGCTGAGCGTTTCAAGTACCAATCTCTCGTTGGCTCCGAGCTCTACCTGATGGGCCAGACTCGTCCAGACTACGCCTTCACGCTCTCGGTACTCTCCCGCTTCTGCCACAATCCGTCTGACGATAACTTCAAGCTTGCGGAGCACTCAGCACGTTATCTGAGCGGTTCCCTCACTCTCGCGCTCCTCCTGGGCGGAGAAAACGACTTTCCGGGGCCGGAATGGGACAACGACGCCTTCACGATGGAAGACTCCCTCAGCAAGCCGCACCAACTGCCGGTAAACGTCTGGACTGACAGCGACTGGAAGGGCGACAAGGTTACAGGCAAATCTACGCACTCCTACGTCGTCCAGTTGGGCAAGGTGAACAACGTCGTTTCCTGGCGCTCCAAACGCACGTCAAGAGTTATGCTCTCGTCTACCGAAGCGGAGTATTACGCCCTGGGAAAGGGAGCCCAAGCCGCTCTTTGGATGCGCAGTTTGTTCGCAGAACTGCGTATTCCTGCCACTTTTACGCTCCTGGGCGATAATCAGGGCTCAATCAAGTTGGCAAAGAACCCTGAGTTCCACCAGCGAACTGGGCATATCCCTCTGGAGGAGCACTTCCTGCGCGACGAAATCGAGAGCGGCAGGATCACAATCGAATGGGTGCCTACAGAAGAGCAACTTGCCGATGGACTCACCAAGATTCTCTCTCCTACAGACCACCTGGAGATGGTTAGGAAGCTGGGGTTGGTGGACGTTCTGGCTCAGGGGGTGCGTTTTGACCACCCTGTATAGTGCCAGTTAAGCTGAGTTACCCTGTTCCTTTCTACCACTCGCGTTCTACTGCGATTTATCTGGCTTAATACACTCTCCTGTCCTTACTATTTTGTACGCTTACATCTGTTTTCTGGGCTGACTTCAGGGCTTCTCCCTTTTGGGGGTGTGTGGGAGGAAAAGGATCGAACCCCTGAAATGAGGCTATCGCCAACCCCTGGATCCTGCCAAATTCGAATATCTTCTGCCAAGGCTGGGCGTATTGCGCCACCTACGCAAGGCACGAAGGTTCTGGAAACTGCAGGCCCCTGGAGACGCTACAGCCCTCTGTGTATATAGAGATCCTAAAGTCCCTCAAAATACACGTTTTGGAGGGTTGAACCAGTCAATCGAAAAACTGTTTTCCACAATTGCAGCATGTAGTCTTGCGTCGAGTGAGACATTCATCCAGTCCAGGAGCACGACAATGGTTAAAAACGGCAGACTTGTGCTTGACATAGCAGAACGCCTCCAGTCTGAAGGAGCGCGATGGCTTCTTGCCCGTCTGGCCACCCTCGTCCTTTTCGCAACCCCTGTCTATCTCCCAACAGGCAAGAACCTCACCCACAGCTCAGGCCGATCCCACATGAGGAACGCACGGAAGTCCGGTCGAACTCGTTATCGTGGCCCTTCACGGGATCAAGGTCGAACGACCACAGCAGCTTAGCCAAGAACATGCGTTCCTTCGACCACGCGATCTCGCGACCGATGCGTTGGCGCGGGCCGAGACCGAAGAAGGCCTTCAGGTTGTCGTCTGCGTATCTGGTGTCGTACAGCGGGTGGTCCGCGGGCAGCCAACGCTCGGGCTTGAAGCTGAGGGGCTCGCGCCAGTACCGCGGGTGGCGACCTGCTGTGAAGCTGCTTAGGTGGACGCTTACCTGCAGCAAGAGATCAGAACGGGCCGGACTGAGACACCGGGAATGGATTGGTGGCGAGTTGAACTCAACCCCTTAAGCACGTAAACCCCATCGACAGTCGCTCCGGGACTAACGCGAGGCATCCCCGCGACGGCTATGACATGCGCCCGCTGCGACTCGTGGATGAAAGCGTTGAGATACGGCAGGTTAGAGGCGGCTTCTGCAGTGATGTCACCGTAGCTCTCGAAAGCATCGCGGATCTCCTTGGTAAGCCTGGCACATGCCTCCTTATGCTTGACCAAGAAAAATACAGCCGCATACGGCTGTATCTGAATCGGATTAAACCCGGCGATAAACATCTGCAGCGCCACCTGCTCGATATGCTTCAGCTCCTTCTTACCGGTCGGTACCCGCGGCCCCTCGGTCGGGATCATGTAGTCCATGAAGTCCGGGTGTTTCGCCTTGCCGCGTCGGTCGATGCGAGCCCGCACCTCGTCGGCGTTGGCTTTGAGCACGGCCGGGACCGTGAACAACATTCTGAAGGGGAAGACGAGCGATGATAGCAGGGCGATGGCGGGTATTTTCTTCGCTATTTGGAGGACACTCCCTACCATGGCGGTTTCGGTGAAGGTCTTGACGAAGGCGGAGGTCTCGCTGCGCGCATGATGTTAGACCAGGCTGGAAGTAGTTTAGCAGCGCTACACAGAGAAACCGTACCAATCTCTAACCTGGTTCAGTTCCCTCCCATACGCCAGATCAGCAGCAAGATCAGTGCTAAGTCAGATAAACCAGTCGTCTATCAGCAAACCTCCGGGCCGGCCGCCCACCTCCTCGAGCCTCTGAATGAACAAGTCCATGTACGCTTCCACAAGAGGCTCCTTCTCCCGTGTAGCCTTGGAGCTGAAAGCAGGGACCATCTGCTTGCCCACGGCTTTGCGCTTAGCCGGGTCGTTCTCCCACGTGAAGCCCAGGTCGCCGGTGCCGAAGTACATCAGGTCCGTCTTGCGGAAGATCTCCATGCCCCTGTTGGCGGCGCCGTGAATGTCCTGCGCCGCTTGGGGCGTGAAGAACGCTACCTCGTTGGGACCGATGCGGACGGCGTCGCCGTACTCGTGCATGATTTTCTCTTCGTACCAGGGGTATTTACCGCGGAGCCTACGTTGCGTTAGTGTGGTCGTGGTCTATCGGGTTGGATGGATACCGACTCACCAGTAGTAACAGTACGGGGGGTATGAAGCTGCTGCGAGCTTCGGACCCGGGAATCCAGCGGCGGGATGGAAGTACAAGCGGTAGATGGTGCGAGCTACCAGATATGTGGCGGTGGTGGAAGCTGAGAGCCATAACCAGTAAGACCACGGCCACGATCAGAGTGGTGTATCAACGTGATACTCAAAGGTGCCCATTGTGACAAATGCGTCGATAGACGGTTCTAGCCAGAGCGAACATGAGACTAGGCTCTCATCAAGTATGGCCTTTGGCTGATTTATACTTTCGCAATTTGCTAAGATGTCGTTGCCGTCAACCCCGTTTCCGCCCCGGAACACAGAGTGTGAGCCGGGACTCGATGAAGGATGGATGACATTAGATTCTTTCCCTGGATCCTCATTCGAGCATAGATCCCGCCATTGCAGGGAACGGCTCTCAAGGTTCACATCTCTTTTCCCGCGATCTTGATATTGAGGGAGGGGGTGGGCCAGTTGTCGTTGGTTGAATGTCGGTCGGTTGGGTTATCGCGATACACCGACGGTCCGACGGCTTGACTGTGGTGAACCCAACGCGGCGCACCCGAAACCAAAGAAAACACCGCCAAAACATGAGATGGCGGCACCAAATAAGAACTATCTGCTGATGAACGAAGAGGCAAAAAGACAAAACATATATATATATATATGCCCACTGCCCGGATTGAACGAGCGACCTTCTCATTTCCTTGTAGAGTTACAAGTGAGACGCGACTACCACTGCGCCAAGCGGGCTATTGCTTATATAATATGTTCTATGAGGATTCTGTCACATGTATCTAGCTCCCCGCTACTGAACTCGAACTATCCCTGAAGCCATGTTTATCAAGCACTTTCTGTGATTCGACGTTGTTCTCAACTGGCTCCTTAATTCTCGGTCCATTTCGAATGAAAAGACAACGAAGTACATACTGTAGCACTTGAAGATCCAACCCACCGATCAACTGCCTGTTTCCGTTAGGAGCCGGTAAGTGATACTGGAGTTTCAACTGTGAGCGCACATAAACATCCTTACCAGTGGGTTATCTGTACGACGCACTTTGACCGTACGACCGAGCATCAAAGGAAAGCTGTTAGGGCCCCGAACCCTGGTGAGTGGTGACTGTGATTCATCATTGCAGAACAATAGTCTGGAGCCGAGCTAGAGCGAACCGTATTTCGAGTCGTTCGAGACTTCAATGAAAGCTGCTGGTGAATGTACGTTCTACACAGCATTGGTAGGAAATTGTCGCAACATCTCAAACCAACTGTTGAGTCCTATATCCTAGAGGTACTTCCAACTGTTGGGTGAGGGCCTGTCGTGAACTTCGAGTGAGTGAACGTGAATTGCCATAAGACCGGAAGGAATTCATGATATGCTGCAAGTGATTCAACCCTAGACTCTTATTGATTCACTTCCATAGTCCCATCCTAGGCCTTCGTCCAGAAACTATTTAACACTTTTAAACGTTCGGCTCCTCATCTTCTCCCGAATACATCTCCTAAGCACCTCCTCAGCCTTCTCATGTGCCCCCAGGCTACCGGGAACCCTCATTTTTCCCATCATTGCCTTGGTATAACTGTCTAGTATACCGTGATCGACGGCAGATCACCATACCGCACAATGATGTTGAAGAAGCTTCTCGCGGCTGGTCTGGCCGCGGGTCAGCTCTTCATTGGAGTTGCCTGCTACACGACCTCTCAGTTAACAACTGTTGTCATTGTGACCTTGACCACGGATATGACCGTCACAACCTGCCCTGTTACCACCACGATTCCTGTCACCATTTCTGGTGATAGTACCTGGTGGTCTTCTGGACCATCTGCGTCGGCATCGTCTACCACCGATGGCCTTCCTGGAGTCTCACCCACCAGCTCGGACCGTACCGGCAGTACTGAGCCACAGCAGCCCTCCTCGCACATCGAGACCAGTACTCTCGGCTCCACCGGGTCTGCTACCAGCTCCGCTTCGACAACAGCGTCCGGAAGCACAGTCTCTGGCATTCCTGTCTCTGGGACAACGGCATCTTCTACAGGGACATCCTCGCCCAGCCTTAGTTCTGGGTCATCTGTAGCAACTGCTTCAACCCCTTCGGTCACAGTCGTTCGCTCCACGACCACGACTCAGACGACCAATGGCCATGTGACAACAATCTCCTCCATGGTAACGACCGTTATTCCGGCTGCCATCTCCTCTTCAACTGAAAATTCGTCTACGGCTTCCTCAGATTCCAGCTTATCTTCCGAGACATTATCTCGTTCCTCCGGGTCCACCTCTAGCCCCTCGTCTGCACCGGCCACCACGTCTTTCACAGCCTTGTCGACTTCACAAGGTCAGACTTTATCATCTCCCTTGACGGCTGGGAGCCCGTCCCCTAGTGGCATCTCCCTGTCTGAGCCCACAATCTCATCATCGGCTGCTTCCCTACCCGGCACAAAATCGCCCTCTTCCTCAACTTCATCTCCAACAGAAAGTGTTGTATCTGGTGGATCTTCCTTGTCCACCACTTCATCAATAACGTTCCCTTCTGGTAGCGCTGCGCCCACCGGTTCGGCCTCTTCGGCAACCACCTCCACACAATCCCCAACGACGTCGTCTCCCTCGAGCATATCCGCCTCATTGACAGCCGGTATTTCCACGCCTCACGGTTCTGCTGCATCCACGAGCTCGTCCGCAATATCATCAACCGGTGTCTCGTCGACCATCATATCCCTCCCGTCCGCTAGTTTGACTTCGTCTACCCGTCCTTCAACATCCCTCCCTCTAACTGGCCCAACTTTCTCATCCTCAACTTCGTCTGCAACATCTCCAACTGGTACCGTTTCTCCCAATGAACCATCGTCGACCACAGTCTTGCCTAATGGTCCCTCATTCTCCAGTACGTCGTCGACCACAGTCTTGCCCAATGGCCCCTCGTTCTCAACCAGCAGCAGCTCGTCCTTCTCGAGCACCTCGTCAACTACAATCCTGCCTGGGTCCAGTCCAGGCACTCCTTCACCCTCCGTGACTGGCACTCTGGGCTCGATCACTTCCTCTTCGTCTACTAGTTCAACCTCTTTGACTGGTAATCCGGGGGGAAATCCATCCTTCTCGCAGACATCAAGTGCTTCGATAACGACTTATCCGCCCTTATTTGGGGGCCCTGACTCCCAAATCTGGTGGCCAAAGGATCCACTATCGTTGTTTTCCCGCCCTCCTTCTATGCCGACTTTTGCACCAGACTGCCCCGGCGGACACAGCAAGTTCTACCAAGCCGCGGACGGCAAGTGGTTCATTCTCCAATGCTCTTACGATCACTTCAGCGACGATCTTGATATCCTCTATGGCCTAGGGTATACCGCTTGCCTTGACGCTTGTGCCGAGTATCCAAACTGTGCGGCCGTTGCCTGGAATCCTTCTGAGCTAAATTCGCCATGCTACCTGAAGACTACTGCAGAGGACTGGACCTCCAATCCTTCTATCTGGGGGGCTATCGCCATTACCCCTTTTCCCGGCTGGCCTTCCGACTTCGAGACTCAGATCACATCCACAATAACAGCTCTCCCACCCGGCGCGGTTCTCCAGACACTCACCGGGGGTTTCACAGAGGATACGATTATTACGACCACGTCTCCGGGAGGTCACTCACCTATTGTGGTCTCCGTGATCGTGCCGAGGATAGGCCCGCCCGTTATTGTAAGCAGGTCCGATGCTGTCCTATCGTCCTATTGTTACATCGCCCTAACATCATATGTAGTGCTGGGGATGCATCCCGTTCTGGCCTATTAACATTGTTATCAACATTCCGGAGATCAAGTTCTGTATTGTCATTCTCGGAACCAAGATCGTAAGTCTACTACTACTCTATGCCAGGGCTGTCTAAGCTAACGAATGGCAGGGTTTCTGTGGAGGGCCACCAAGCGGTGGCGGACACAATGGTAAACCAGAAAACGGCTCGCCCACGAACAAGCCTAGCGACCAGCCAACAAACTCGCCAACCTCTTCCGCGTCGTCGACTTCCAGCTCCTCGTCCACGACATGTACCGTCTCCGTTACCGCAACGTATGAGAGCGTCTTCTGCTCTGTGACAACAACCGCGTCAGCAGCACTGGATGAGGCGCACAGGCCTCATCAACGTCGACAACAAGGTCAGGAAACCGGTTGCTCGACACGCGCGTATAGCACAGTCACTGGCTGCAGCGTAGTTTCATCGACAACTACCACCACAAGCACTAGTGTAGGAGCACCCAGGTGCTCCGAAGGTATCTGCGGCAAGGGTACATGCCCCGCCCGGCCCCCGTCCGACCGGAAGCGAGATGCCAACGTGGCTCCGCGGCGGGTATCGGAGCCTCCTCCCGGCGTGTGGGTCGGACCTGAGAACTACGAGGGTGGCAGCTTCATGAAGTTTATGCCTGGAGGTAAGCAGAGTATATATACTTCTGCCATTGGTCTATTGCTAACGGTTTTTTGTGTAGAGGTTTTCCTCGCGAATACTGACCCTAGAACGTCGGTTGATATCTACGGCGAAGGCCGGCCGCGAGTTGACACCACGTTCAACTTCGTCGCCTTCAAAGACCAAACGGAAACCCTTGCCCTCACCGGACTTTACGGCTGCACAGCTCTCGTCGCCATATCCCAGAAAGGGGCCTGGATGGCTCACTTCTGGGAAGACACAGCATTCGAAAGCTATCAAAATACTGGTAGTTGGGATTGGTTTGACTCACGGGTAACAAACGCCATCGACGTAGGCCTGCCTGCCGACGTGCCGCGTCAACAATATGTCAACCAGTTTGCCCTTGGCGAGCTTCGGAACAAGGACGACAAACCCAGAGAGTTGGGACACATGTTTGACGACCTCTTTGACCCCTTCATATTTTACATCTTCCCTCGATACGACGACGTAAGGTCCGGGAATGATCCGAATGCAGGCTATGCCACAGAAATGTACCCTGAAGAAAACATCAGGGTAATGAGCAAGGTCCGAGACATGTTCGGTGACCGAGTCCAGGACCGCGTTCACGGCATTGCAGAATCTTATTCGCCTTTGGGGGGAGATCTCGACGACCAACGAGATACGGCATGGGAAAATCCGCGAGGAAAGCTGCTCATCCAGTACATGCCCGCTCACATGACGTGTCAGGGTCAGCCCCCGACAAAAGCAAAATGGCGCTTCATCATCGAAGATGGTAAGTGATGCAATCACGGGAGTTTTAAATACTTGATGGCAGGTTCTAGTGTCTTGCTAACAACCTAATCTCCCTTTTCCAGGTAGAGCTAAAGAAGAGTCGTGGGATCCATGGCCGGGCAGATATTCATTCCACCCCCCGGACCTCCCGGACAACCCCAGGCCCGGGACTTGTGTCCTCTCAGTTCGTCCAGTGTTACTTCCAATAGCCAGTCGACGACCGCGTCTCCTACCAGCGAAGCACCAACTCCCACACCCCAGACGAGCAGCAGCAGTTCATCACCGACCACCAGCTCGACGAGCTCCACGACCACCACCTCTCCCACAAGCCCCACATCTACACCTCCTCCTCCTCCCCCAAGCACCACCAGCTCCTCCTCCACCCCGCCACCACCACCAACCACCACCACCCAGCCCGAGCCCAAACCCACAACAACCTGCACCCTCGACGTCTGGCAGTACTACGCCCTCACCCCCGACAGCAAAGACACCCTGTACTCCTACATCAAATGGACCCTCGGCAAGGCAGATACCGCGTCGACGTGGTCGTCCGCGGATCAAGACGTCGACCTGCAATGGGACGAGGACGTC